GGAAGACAGCGCCGCTCTGTGCCCTGCTCCACTCCCTCCAAACCGGGACGTCCTACCTGCATTGGCTCTACTCTGCATATTGGCTCCTACCTAAGAGCTTATTTAAAGGAACTTTTTAAAAATAATTTTAAAGTCATGGCAGATGACCTCACTGCTTTGTTAGTGCATTTCCAGCTCCCTTGACTCGAGCTGCATACAATTTCATAAATGCTCTGGCACTAAGTCTCTGAGTTTAGAGATATTCACCTCTCTATATAGTTTTCACTGCAAATTGGACAAATATCCCCCTGAAATCAATATTTTAACCATAACTAATTACATTTTGTTATCAGCTCAAAAACAAAAGACTTTAAGCCCAAAAGATAAATATTAGCTTTGATTCAAAACTTTGATCAAAATATAGACATTATCATTTACTGGTTTTCAAATAAGAGAAATTCAAATTTAGCTTTCAATTTCTATACTTCATTAATGCATACAAATCAAAAAAAACTCCAATTATTTAACAATACATCAAAGTGCTAGGGTTTTTTTCCATGTATCTCATAAAATCTTTTTAGATCAAAAGTCTCTGAAGCGTTGCTGTTGTGCATCTTTGATTGCTTGGAAGGAAAAGAACGTTTTGTAATGTCCTGTTTCTCTTCTAATTTTAGAAGGCTTATGCATATGCAGATGAAGACGAGGGCCGGCCAGCCAATGACTGCTTGCTCATTTACGACCACGAAGGAGTGGGGTCTCCTGTGGGCTCCATTGGTTGCTGCAGTTGGATTGTGGACGACTTAGATGAAAGCTACATGGAAACCTTAGACCCAAAATTTAGGACTCTGGCTGAAATCTGCTTAGACACAGAAATTGAGCCATTTCCTTCCCACCAGGCCTGTATACCTATCAGTACTGACCTGCCTTTGCTCGGCCCTAACTACTTTGTCAATGAATCTTCAGGAGCAACTCTCTCAGAGGCTGAATTCCAAGCAGAAATGGCAACAGCTGAACCAGTCATTCATGGGGACATCATAGTGACTGAGACCTACACCACTGCTGAGCCATGTGTCCAACCCACTACTATTGTTTTTGACCCACAGCTTCCACCTAATGTTGTAGTAACTGAAACAGTAATGGCGCCTGTCTATGATGTTCAGGGGAATATCTGTGTGCCTGCTGAAATAGCCAACACACACAATGTATACTATGCTGAGAGAGTACTGGCTAGCCCAGGGACGCCTGACATGAGCAGTGTTGCCATGGCTGATGCTTGTATGGGACCTATGATGAGTGGTGGTATTTTGGTAGGGCCGGAAATTCAAGTGACACAAATGGTGAGTCCAGACATTCACATAAGTCAAACTATTGGCTCTACCTCCCCAATGACATCTCGACATAGAGTAACACGATATAGTAACATACACTACTCCCAGCAGTAAGTGCTTTATGGCCAATATTCTAGATGGAGACCTTACACCCTAACGATCACCCTGAATATAATCCATCAAAGACATAGAACATATTATATTAACATTGTAACAGTTAAAAAATTCAAACATTATGTTTAATGTGGCTCTTTGATAAACCTGGGGGGACTAGGGCTAAGCACTTTAAATAAACTTTTTTTAAATTTTTGTGACTTTAAACAAAATGCAGAAAAACTGAAGAAATCTTTTTTTTTTTGTCCTTTGACACCGTCAAATAAATAGCACATGCTCATTTTGCAGTCCTCTGGGTCTTCAACCCTGTAGAGACAGTCTTGCAAATCAAGATGCCCTAGGGGCCAGGGAGATGGCTCAGTAGAATAAGTGCTTCCCTGGTAAGTGCAAGGACCTGAGTTCAATACCTGGTTCTGCAAAAAAAAAAAAGTCAAGATGCCCTTTTTCAAGAGAATCTTATCTTGTCCACTGGCTATAATTTGCTTTAAAGAAATATTTCTACTAAAATGTATTAATTGAAAAAGTGAATGCAATCTATACTTCTGAAAGGAACTTGAGGGGGAATATGAAGCATATATCTAAAACAGTTTGTTTCACCACATCATTTCTCAAGATAGCCAATATTAAGCAATACAACATGCTTAGTATAAAAAAGAGTTTACCAACTGGACTTGACTTATGAAAAGGAAATAAATATGAATTTTTATTGCATCTCATTCATTCATAGAATTAGCTATACATTAATTTAGAACTGCAAAAAAATTAGGACAAATCTACAGTAAAACAGATCTGAGAAAAAATATTGGCATTTTCCCTACATTAACTAATTATATGAAAAATTAAAGAGAATTGAATAAGTTTTATTGACCTGAATCATAGAGCTTTCATTTGGCAACCAGATGAAAGTACATTTGTAATTATAGATTCAACGATATTTACTTAGAATGCTACTGAATGTTGGTCTTGGCTTGAACATAGAGATAAAGAAGAAAGGCATGACTTGTGTCTTTATAGAGCTTTTAATTCACTTCTACACTTAAAATAAAACTCTGAGCTATGACCTTGAAATTCTTACCGGACTATGTAGGCTTATCACCACAGTGCATTTCTCTTTCTAATAAAACTATTTTTATGTTGAGTGAATGAAATAGAAACATCTGCACAGGTTGCTCTTTAGTAGCTATAAAGCTGGCTTAAGAGAAAGAAATTCTGGGGAGTACTTCTGCTGAATTCTGTAAAATATGTAACTATACAGTAGTAACTATAATGGGAACAGAAAGACAATGTAAATGAAATAAACTTATTTTGAGGGTTCACTTCTTTTGGAAAGAATTGTAATACCTGTTGCTTTTTTCTCCTTTATGAATAAAACCATAGTGGAATTGGAGGCATCTCATATAACCTCTTGCTCAACTGTCTCATTTTATAGACAAAGAATCTAGAAATAAAGAGGTTAAATGACCACAACCACCTAGCTATGCTTTGAACCCATTGCTCAGATACCCTGTCCAGTGTTTCAGTATTACAACTTCATCAGAATGGAGAGAATTTAACTTTGTCCACTGCATAAGCAATTAAGGACTAATCAAAACAAAAAATATCTAATTGAAACAAAAAATATCTGTCAAAAAGGATCTACAAACTGTGGTACAGGGTTTCAGGGTAAATCCTGAGGTGATTCGATTGACCTTATCAGATACAAAAGTTACATTTCTTGTTATATAGGTTTTGCTTTATCTTGTTCATAACCATCCAGCAGAAAAGTATAAAAACAAGGTATAAAAAGTAAAGCTATATTGATATGCTGAGCTGTAAAAGGCTCAATTCAACAACTTCTAACATTGCCAGTCCTGCAGATAACCACTACTATTATGGACTACTGGACTATATTGGATTATTTTGCTCAATTCACGTACCTACAATATTTAAATAGCAATGGAATACCCATCTCTGACAAAACTTAACAAAAAAGAGGATAAAAATGAAGGACCATTTTGTATCTTGATATGCAAAATAGTTAGGATAAATATACAGCTACTTTCTCTTAATTCAATGAGAAGAAAGATTTGTTCTAATAGTGTTGGGACAGGATATCATGTCTGCATCATGTACGTAATGAATATCCATTATGAAGACAACAATATGCAATGTATTAATTATTGAAACTGTCCTACTAATTGGTTTTGAAACTGTCTCATTGCTATTTGTTTCTCAATAAAATTAATAAAAAAGTAAAAAAAAATCTGTCAAGAAAGTATAGTAAAACATTGTGATGCTAGACTTATTTACATACTCTTGCAATAATTTCCAAATTATATACACTGCCAACTGTTGTCATTCTTCACTTTAGTTACATCAAAGACATTGCTATATTTCACTCATCTATAGTTTGATTAAATATATAAAATAGCCGATCCCTCGTTACATGACCATTTTAACAATCACTCAATAACTGGCCACACAGCATTTGGTATCGGTCAGTTCTGTAGCACATTCTGATATGGACATTTCTCCCCTGATACGTGCATTCTATTAGACCACCAATTCTAAGACTTACTAAATAACTAGCAAATAGTTAAGTGTAAAGTGCTAGTGAGGTTATGCACTGACACTTGAGAAGTGAAGAATAAAACAATTAAGCATTTACCGAAGGATTTAAAATTTTTTAAAGAGATAAGATTACTTGCAAGAAGGATTTTTAGAAATGGTTCTTTGAACTTTTTCTTCTACCTCTTTATCAATACCCAAAGGAGCACGGCACCTCTCAGGACCCCTTTCTCACCCCATCTGTGGAAGAAGATCAGGTCCATCTCACTGGCTCAGCATTGTCAGTGAGGAGAGCTCAACAACAAAGCCAGGATGGCCAACACTGCTCACACACAACCCAAGCTTCTCAGATTGGCTTATCTGCAAATATCATCTCTGGCAAAAATAAAGAAGCCTAAGCCAAGTTCCTCTCTGACTGCATCCAACATAGGCTTTATCTAGGAAGTAAAGTCAACATAGCATTTTTGTTAAAGTCTGAAAATGATCTTAGATATCCGGGAAATGAAATCTAATAAATAAATTCAATAACATATGGTTTGAGTCACGCTGCTGACCTGTGGAATTACTTGAGGAGATAACATCACTAAATGAATAAATGCAGTCCTAAGTGAAAGGAAAAGAAAACATAAGAGCACTTATGAACTTATTTTTAAAAAGTAATTCAAAGAAACTCTCTTGGACTAGATACTTCTGATTGCAATATATTAATAAATATGGTCAAGTTCTATGTATTTTTTCAATTAAAACTATGTGATAAAAGAGAAAAGTTTTTCCTTTTATCCTTAGTACAAGTACTTCATCCATGAACCCAGCTACACATTCCGAAAATCATTCCCATTTTTACTCCATCATTGTCATCTTTATCACTATGAGCACCATATGGTGACACTGATTCATTTGTAAGTGGAAATTCGGAATAGTTAATTTGTTTAGCAATGATAAATTATCTCCATAACATTATTGCGCTATTTGTGAATTTTCATTATAAAATAACAGATCAGTTGAATAAACATCAGATATTGTCCTAGACATTGTAATTATAGAGCTAAATTTAAATTCAACAAAATTAGGTACAATTTCTGTACCAGTCAAACAAATTTCTGTGGAAACAATGAAAGAATAATTTCAATTAAAGGAACCAAGGGAGCCCTGTGAGAACAGTGAAATAAGGCCTAGGCAAGTGGAGTTTTGACCAATAAGGAATATGAAAGTAAAGGCAAAACACAGGCTCTATACGAAGACTATTAAAGTAATCAAATTAAGTTTAGAAATAATAAAATTATCACATAGTCATTTTTAAAGTATTGTCACTACACTAATTGCTCAAAATGCATTATCCTACCCAATTCCCAAAACAACAATAAGATATTATTTATACTTATTTTGCAAGTAAAGACCCTAAAGCCAAGAGAAACAGTTATTTTTACATTAGAGCATTAGTGAGTAGCGGAGTTAAAACCAGTGCAGAGCTGCCCACTCGAAGGACTTCGTTCTCACCAAATTCTGTTGATTCAATTCTGGAAGGACATGTGAGAAGCAGGTAAAAGAGGATTTATTTTTTTTTTTTTTTTTGCGGAACCGGGGATTGAACTCAGGTCCTTATGCTTGCCAGGGAAGCGCTTATTCCACTGAGTCGTCTCCCTGGCCCCAAGGATCTTGGGCATCATTAGGAAGCTGGATGGCATTTGGTTAGAAAATGGGAAACCAGTGAGGTGTGTGTGCCGTTGGTGTCCAGGTCCTGTTTTACGAGATGGTGGTCTTCGGAGGTCTCAGGAGGCCGCCACACCGCTGGCCACCACGTACAGCCTCATCACGGCCCTCACGCTTGCAGGCCGGCGCTGAGCCGCTGAACTAAATCCCCACCTAGGCGGTCCTTCGCATCACGCTCAGCGGAACAGGTTAGCACCGGGTTTCCTAAAAGGACGCCAATGAAGCACTGTGTAAGTTAGCCAAACTACTTGCTCAGTGAATGCCCCGGACCTTTTCTATTACTTCAAGTAAGGTACACATCATGACTTATTTGTAGTTTGTAAAACAAGGCAGGGTTCTTATACCTGTGTCTCCCAGCACCAGCCTGGCTCTTCAGCGCTCACCGCAAGCCTCGCCCTTCCTCGGGAGCGGTGTTGGACATCTCCCCCACTGCCGCAACGTGCTCGCTCCTTTCCTTCCTTGCCCCCTTTAGGAACGGACACCTACTTTTCTTCGGTCTGCTAGCCTGTCAGCAACCTGCGAGCAAGGACAATGCTTTTCTCCTTCCCGTGTCACCAGGGTTAGCAGAGCATCTAGTACAGAGCTGCGCTTGTTAAGTTTTCGGACAGCGCCTGCAGTTCAACGATATTGCCTCTAGAGGGCAGCCTTTGGGACCATCTTCTAGAAGCTGGTGCAAATATCAGCCTGAAGGAGGCGATGCGCCGGCGTCCCTAATTCACCATAACAACTACTTTGCAGGAGAA